GCCTGGTTACGAGGCTACCGCCTCCATGACTTACTGTACTAAGGTGCGATAACAACTGCAATGTTTGCGGTGCGAATCCCCGCTAACCGCCCGGCCAGTGATATAATAGACTCCGTTATCCCGCCTGTAATGGCTCCGACAATGGCGGGGAAAGCGTCCAAGAATGGCCTCACCCAAAAGCCTGACTACCAGGCTACCACCTCCATGACTTACCGTACTAAGGCGCGATAACAACTGCAATGTTTGCGGTGCGAATCCGCTCTAACCGCCCGGCCAGTGATATAATAGACTCCGTTATCCCGCCTGGAATGGCTCCGACAATGGCGGCTGGAATCACCACAGATTTGCGCCTCTTTACGACTCCGCTATCGACCCGGCATGGCCCGGCCGGTTCGATGGTCGGATCTCAGAGCAGAGGTTTGGGGTTATTTTTGGCGTGTTTTTAAACCTTTTTTATCGGGGTTTCTGTTCTGCACTGAAATTTTTTCGGTGGTGAAAAAAATTCCACTGCAAGAAAAAAAAGGAAGGAGAGTACATGTACTAGTAATCGACCTCGGACCCCGCTTCGATTGTTGGATCTCCAAGCAGAGGTTTGGCCTGTTTGAGGTTTTTAAAGCTTTAATTGCAGACGTTTTGCTGACTTTTCTTCCGATATATTCTGGCCAGGATGCTAAAAGAAAGACCAGCTGCGTCATACCAACGACTGCGTCATACCAACGACTTAGAAATGGTCGATGCTGCTTTCTCTTATTTATTTTGGAGTCAGAGTATGGGAAAGTTTAACACACAAGTGGGCAAGTCCCCTACTGCTGCAGTGCTTGCAAAGTTGTGTGGCCCAAGGGCTACTGAAATGGACAAGAGCACCCCCTATACTTCACATGGAGTGGACAGGACCATTAGCAACTATAGGTTATGCTTTGGGTTGATTAAAAGATCCTAACACGTTAATCAAAACGTGCTAATGGTAACTGTGTGGCTTAGGGGCTAGAGATGGGCACCGCCCTTTGCTTCCCTAGAGTGAGCGGACACCACGCCGGACAAAACGTCTAAAAACGTCCGAAAATCTGCCCAACCTCTGCTTGGAGAGCATCGATCGCCAGTCCGACCGGCGCTGGTATCTTGTTGTTTATTTCTGCCCGCAAAAATGAAAGGGGTGCGTTTAGGAGAGCTACCCTACAGCAAAGAAATTCCGATAAACGCCTAAAAGCGCCAGAAATACGCCGACGCCCAACCTCTGCTTGGAGACCATCGATCGGCCTACCCGCCCGGCGCTGGTATCGGTCAGGCGGCCGCTTGTTGTTTATTTCTGCCCGCAAAAAGTTGGATTTATCTGGCGTGTCGCCACGGGGTGCGATCGGCACGGCCACGGGAAAGCAGTTCTGTAGATGACGTAAAAACAGACCGCTAGAGCAGTTCCTGTAGATAACATACACATATAAACACAATGAATAAAACGAGATATAGGGACTGGACAGGAAAACGGAAAGGATGCAAATGCACTAAAATCGGGATGAGCAAATACGGTGTGATAAATATTTTCTGAAACAGGTTGCTTGTCCCTGACAAAGATTGGAATTTTACGGTCGAATACATGGGTAAGTCCAATTTGTTGTGTTGGAAATTCCAGTTCGAACCTGTGCTCTATGTGATGCTACACCCAGAGCGGCGTTGTCCCTGCCCGTTACCGGGTGGGACTGAATGTGGTGTTACACCTGCCCGAATGTTATGTGCCGGCGGACAGGGGCGTTAATATGTGCGGCGGGAATCAGCAGTGACAGTGATGTTACACCCAAAGCCGCATTACCCCAGCCCGAGAGTCGGAGCTGCAGTGATGTTACCCCCCGAGCTGCATTACCCCTGCCCGCCGGACGGGGGCGTTAATCTGTGGTGCGGGAATCAGCCGGGTGTTTAGCCGCCGATCTGTCCACAATCAATCGATTCATTCGATTTGTTACGATTGGACGGCGGCGGGCGGGCGGGCACTCACCGCCTGGCCGGGCATTCAGGCAGGGGACCGTTCGTGTGTGTGTGTGTGTGTGTGTGTGTGTGTGTGTGTGTGTGTGTGTGTGTGTGTGTGTGTGTGTGTGTGTGTGTGTGTGTGTGTGTGTCTGTGTGTGTGTGTGTGTGTGTGTGTGTGTGTGTGTGTGAGTGTGTGTGTGTGTGTGTGTGTGCGTGTGTGTGTGTGCGTGTGTGTGTGTGTGTGTGTGCGTGTGTGTGTGTCTGTGTGTGTGGATGTGCTCAAAAAGGGTTAGAATCTGGACACAATTGAGTAGTCTCTTTCGTATCCGGATATCCAGAAACGTGTTTATCGAGTTCTGTACCTGGATGAGTCCTGAATGGGTTAGGGTTAGGCACAGTTATAGATATTCTCCGCGTATCCAACTTCCAAGAACGTAGATGTGGCTTAGGCACCATTCTGGATAGTCCAGGAATATCCAGAACCGTAAGTGGGCACGTTTCTGGATAACCATGCAGTACGAATAACGCACGGTGCTGGATGCAACAACTTGAAGTAGAGTAAGGGGCGGTTCTTCTGTGGGGACCGATCGTTAAGCGTCCCTGGGGAGGGATTAGTCGTTACGGTCGTGCCAACAGATTGTCGCCCGCGCCATCCCAGTAATTTTATGGATGAGCAGCTCGGAGGATCATAATCTATAAGATTAATGTAAATGCTAGGATGCAAATGCGCACACGATACACAACGAACATACTCACATACCAGTGAACACTACTACCACTATTTCCACTACTACACTACTACTACTGTAGTACTAGATTGTACGGCAGCATGTTTTAATAATGTCCACCAGATTACACCACCCTTCCTTCCAACTAGCCTCCACCGGCCAGGCCTTCCCATGGGGGTACGGATCCTAGAATGCGGTAAAAAAAAAGGGAAATAGTTGGTCAGGAGAGTCAGTCCACGAGAGGGTTGATTTCCTCCTTTGGCAAAATGAACTCTACGCTGGCTAAACTCCCCTATTTGCTAAATTTTACTTTTTTCGGCGTTGCTAGTCACACACACACACTCCCTCCAGCCCCAGTGTCCCTGCCACACACACACACACACACACACACACACACACAAACACACACACACACACACACACACACACACACACACACACACACACACACACACACACACACACACACACAAACACACACACACAAACACACCCCTTCCTTCCCACCCCCGGTGTCCCTGCCTTACCGAACCTCCCCCTTCCGTCCCCGTAAAGCGCGCAGAAATCGACTCTCCGTGGCGAAGGTCCTTCGATCGGCCGGAAAACTATATTTGCCGCCGACGCGCCGGCACGAATTTGTCAAATTTGCTTTTCCGCCACTTCGCTCGTAAACGTCGCGCCCCATCAAACCTGGGACTCCGCAGACTTACAGCAGCACGTAGAGCACTGTGGCTCGGTGGTAGCCTCCACCAGGCCTTTCTACAGGAATACGGATCGTAGAATTCGGCAAAAATGAGAGTAAATTGGCCAAGGGAGTCCGGCCGCGGGGAGGTAGTTTCTTTGACTACGCGGCCAGTCAAACCTACAAGGCGGCCAAACTGCCCTGGCAGATATTCTCCTACATATAGCCAGCGTAGTTAGTCTGGTAGAGGAGCAGGACAGCCACGGGAAATTAAAGCGATCGGGGGACCGGTGTGGCGAGTGGGAAAAGAGTGAACGAAGGAATGAATAAACTTTCGGGGGACTCTCCAGACACGTAGCGAACCTTTACTTGCGGGCCATAGGCTAGGACAATTGCACTGAAGGGGAAGGAGGAATAGTGTGTGAGAGAATGAATGAATGGGTGAATGGATGAATGAATGAATGAATGGATGGATGGAAGAAGGAACGAACGAATGAATGAACGAATGAATGAACGAACGAATGAATGAATGAATGAACGAATGAATGAACGAATGAATGTCTGAACGAATAAACGAATGAACGAATGAATGAACGAATGAATGAACGAATAAATAAATGAACGAATGAATGAATACATGAATGAATGCAGACACATTGAGTAAAAGCGCCACACGTGCGGGAATGGGCCAGAAACAAGTGAGAGTGAGTTCCAGCCACCACAGGAGTTTTGTGAGTACTGCAGCTGGTAAAATCTTTCCACTCCATCTCTCTCTCTCTCCGACTTTGCCGCACAGTCTGATAAAATTCCAAACAAACGGACGGACGGAGCGCTTTGCTGAACCGACTAATTACTCAACTCTAGATCTCTTCTGACGAAGCGGCTTATCACACAGAAGGGAAACGAAAAACTGCTCACCTTCACTTTTATTTGGGCACCTAGTCTCCACATGTTTAACAACGCGGGTTTCCAAATAGAGAGATAGCATGCCGGGGGAGTTTGTCTGCTGGGAGAGAACATTTTGTCGCACCCGAAATGTTCTCTCCCAGCAGACAAACTCCATCGGCATGTTATCTCTCTATTTGGCCGATTTCTACTCTATCCAGGCGCCTCCTGAAGCCTGGTAGAGGCTAAGCATTTCGCTGATTGGTGGGGTGGGTGCCTTGACTCGTCAGTTGCTAGGCAACAATTACGTACTACTTGAAATGAGAATCCAAGATGAAGAAATGTTCAAGCAAGGACATCATTATACAGAAAAGCTAGGACATAAGAGCCCCCTCCCGGATATCAGCCCCCTCCCATAGACAAAAGACCTCCCGCCCAGACGTAAGACCCCCCTCCTTAACATAAGACCCCCTCTTGGACACAGCACAAGACCCCCTCTTGGACACAGCACAAGACCCCCTTCGACCCACCCATCAGACCCCTTATCCTTGTCACCCAGTGAGACGTTTTTCTCGACTGATCGTGCTCGTTCCTTGTCCTGAGACCCCCCCTGTCCGACATAAGACCCCCC